TAAGTTTAGAATTATAGGAGCTTCCGCTTTTCAAACTTTTTCTAGACCCAATGTTCTAATATTTGCTTTAGGACAAGCAAAAGAATAAGCCTGGGGGAGTTGATATATCATGTATTTTACCCACTTTCAACCATGATTTAAATATGTTTTTGGAAACAAAAGGATACTTCTAGTGTCTTTTTAGAGCTTTTATAGGTTCAGGTACTCACTGGTGTAAAATTGCTATTATGGAGCTAAAATGGAGACTTTATAAAGATATGAGCGAAATGTGTTAAAAGATATAGACCGATGTGCATTGAGAGCAATCAACCGATAAAAGATCACCAACATCGATCGATAGAAGACATTCTATAACGATCGATACAAAAGCAATCTGAGTGATTAAATGAAGATTAGAAGCTTTAATTGCTTCACAAGAGTTTTAATAAATTATACTTTAAGTCCCTGGCCGCTTGTTAGGCTATATTAAGAGGGTATTGTACTAGTTTAAGCAGACTTCTCCAGAGACCTTTTAGACCTAATTTTAGGAGAAGCATCTAGCTATACTTTGAGAAGAGCTTAGGAATTGAGAGAGAGAGATCTGAACTACAAATCTAGAGAAGATCTTGAACTCCCTTGCTTTACTTATATATTGTTTCTCTTGCTATTATCTTAAGGCATTATTCAAACCATTATGACTTTGTCTCTCATAAATATGTTTGAGTAGTCTCTCTTGTTAGATTTAGGTTTCTAATTAGGGTTGAATCATGCATTGAGGTAACCATTATTAGGGTGTTTAAAATATAGTTCCCAATCTAGTCATCATAAATACTAGTGCTAAGGATTGATCACCCTTACCTCTGATTTTAAGATCAACTTGGATAAGTGAGAACTTGGCAATTACCTAAAGTCTAAGTTATTTAGTGAAGACTAGAGAACCTTTCAAACCTGTTATTAGAACTCGCTGGATGCAATATCGATTGACGAGATCACCGTCTTGTCGACCGATATAGCATAACGTCATCGATCGATATTTCTATCAAACAATCGATCGATACTCACCCAAGCTCATCGAACGATAGTTCTTGACCCGAGATCCAGTAAGAGTTAATTCTTCAAATCATTAAAAGTTTGAATTCAGAACTATGAATAATAAAAACCCTTTATAACTTGTATGTCTGTCACACCTGAAAAAATACCTAAGTTTAACTACCTTCTTTCCTCTTAACAAACAAATCAATCAATCAAGCAATCGCTTGGTTACCTTTTAAGTTACTGTTTTAAATCTGCTGTCTAGTTTTATTTCAAAGACTAAATAATCGGTTGTGTAATTCAGAGCCTCTGTTGATTCGATCCCTAAGTACTATGATTTAACCTCTTATTTGAGAGAGTAATTCACTCCTTAGGGTTAAACATTTGAGTGATATCAAATTAGGTGCCGTTGCCGGGGACTCTTTCTTATTACCATCAGATTTAATTTAGAATATAGTCTAGATTTTATTTTCGTTTACTTAATTCTTTTTCCTCTTTCTGTGCTATCTCACATGGAACTAAAGATGGAAAAGACAGATTTCGGCCAAGCATCGACCGATGACGTAACGCACACATCGAGCAATATGTTGACCGAGGAATCGATCGACGTAATCCAACCAACATCGATTGATGAAACCCAGTTGGAAGCAGGTAAGTCTTTACTTACCAACCTAGTTAATGAGGAAGTAGTCCAAAACGAACCATTAGGTTAGTTATGCAATGAAACAAATTTTTTTACAGTTAAACAAGGGACTGCAATCCCTGTCAAATGTTATCCATCTTCAATTGATGATGCAGAAAAACTGCAAGACTACTTAGACCCCATTAAGACCTATTCCAATAGGTCAACTATTAAGTTACCAGAGGATGAAGCGAATAAGTCTACGCTTCATTTTGACTACATCCATCTGGTACAAAAAAAATCCTTTCGGTGGTTCTGTCTCAGAGCACCCCCACGAGCACATCGATTATCAAAGACAAAATAATCTGTTGTGTAATTCAGAGTCTCTGTGCATTTGATCCCTAAGTAGTACGATTGAATCTCTTTTTTGAGAGAGTAATTCACTCCTTAGGGTTAAACATTTGAATGATATTACTCCTCCACTGGGCCGCTTGGTTAAAACATTGTCAGCCAACATCGGTCAGAGGAAACAACCAGAGAAGAAGTTTGACCAACATGTAAATAGAAGGCGTACCCCTTTGCCTGCTGAGACGTAACACAGTGGGACTGAGGAGATAAGCCACCTGACGTCATGCAAGAGGACGGGCCCGCGCTCTAAGGACATTGCCTTCCATGCCTGCGCGGGCCGCATTGGTTCCAACTAAAAGAAGAAACAAAAGAAAACTGATTAAGCAAACCCCATCGCCGCCTAAGAATGTCAGCTTCTCTTACCTACGAAGCTCCATCGATAATGGGAACCAGGAAGGGTAATGAATACATATCTTTCCTGCCATCTCTACACAAAGGACAGGCCCTTGCAGTCATTTTTCGGAAGTTTCTCTACTATGGGAAGACCACTGCGCAGCCGAAGGTGAAAGTGGCTTTCTCCACCATTGATAGGAGCAAGATGATAGGCAAACAGCATTTTGTCAACACCTAAGGAAAGACATTCTTCGTCGCTCAAATTCTAAATGGCTATAAGGATACGCCAGGCAGGAGGATTGAGCTGGGAAGGAGAGATCCAGAAAAAGCCGCAAAGATCTGTTTGCCAGACTCAAAGAAAGCTTCGTAAATAGCAATCTCCTCCGGTCTACCCATAGAAGCACGTTCAGATGAATGAGGAACGCGGAGAACGACATAGGAAGAAAACAGATAGTCCTTTCGCCATTCGACCAAATGATCCCCTTTCACCGACGACGTGGGGCCCACCATCGAGAAGGTGGCATAATGTTAGTTAAAGGATTCGGGGCAAGGAGCTCAGGCTCGGATCCGTCATAAGGATCCACTCTTCTCTTCGAACTCGAATTTTCAAGGAACTAAAGAACCGGAGCGTTTCGACATAACGAATCTGTTCCCTAAACAAACAAAACACAAGCAAGCTGAAATGAAAGTCTAATCTACAAAACGAAGAAGAAAACTCCTCGAATCAAGAAGATTAGTTGGAAGACCACGGTGAGATCTCGCAATGGTCTTACTCAGAGAAATGGACGAATATTTAAAGACACCATAGTTACTGTCTTCTCGAAGAAGTCACCACTCCCCGGATCTCAAGAAAATGATAAGACAGTCACCGCTCAGAGAGATGCCCAATCTAATAAAGGGGAACTGTCGGGGATCCCAGATATTCTGGGTCGTTGGTGTGTTTACTAATGGAACATAGAAAAAAACAAGAAATGTTTTCTATTCAAGGGTGGTATAGCACTCTCAAGTGGTTTGACGGGTTTATGGGGCAAGGAATACAACAACAAGTCTTTCACCTTTATACCTAGAGTTTGAAGCCTTTATATGCACCATGGAATGTATGAGGAATCTTCGGTAGTATCACGTTATATTTGCAACCGATTATTCTCAATTGGTGAAGATGGTTTCAACACCGGAAGAATGGTTTGCTTTTGTAAATTACATGAAAGACATCAAACTTCTATCAAACTTCTAACGATATATTTCAATTACTCAGAGATCATTCATATATATCGAACACAAAATTTATAGACGTACAAATAGTTTTGTGCAAATATGTTTTATTTCTAATTATAATTGATTAACTAAATCAAGCTCATTTTGTTTGAAAACATACATGATAAATTAGTTTATGGATTTTTAACAAAAAAACCCCTCAACTAAGTTTGTTTTGGGTAAAAACCCCTAAACTAAGTATTTAATGAAAAAACCCCTAAAATAACTTTATTTATTGAATTAAACCCTCACCGGTCATAATTACCAGTACTACCGGTAAATATTCAGTTTAGGGGTTTTATCATTAAACATAAAAATCAATAAAATTCAAAATATAATAACATTATCTAAAATTTTGTAATTTAATTTTAAAAACTAGCATTTTAAAAAAAAAATTTGTAACTATATGAGTTTGATTTGTTATCCTCTTAAAATCAAAATTATATATGTATAAATTTAAAATGTAAAAACCAATAAAATATAAGAAAAAATATCTAACGATTTACCTGTAATAAAAATTATCAAAATTTATAAATATAAAAACAAGAAAACAGAGTAAAAATTATATCTTATTTAATAAAAATGTAATAATAAATCTTTAGATGCTTTTTATTATATTTTGGTGTTTTAAAATTTTAATCTATATATATAATATTGATGTTAAAACAAATCAAACTCATATATTTACAGAAAGTTTGCAAAATGCTAATTTTTAAAAATTTAAGTTACTAATTTTTAGATAATTTATAATTTTTTCCGATTTTTAATGATAAAAACCCTTCAACTATGTTTCATATGGGGGTTTACTTGTTAGTTTGGGGGTTTTTACCGAAAACAAACTTAGTTAACGTATTTTAGAGTTAAAAATCCATTTTACAAGGATAAGAAATCATTCATATATTTACAGAAATTTTTAAATTGCTAGTTTTGAAAATTAAAATTACGAATTTTTAGATAATGTTATTATATTTTGCTTTTATTTTATTTTTTTTTTAATTTTTATGTTTAATGATAAAACCCCTAAACTAAATATTTACCGGTAGTACTGGTAATTATGACCGACGAGGGTTTAATTCACTAAATAAAGTTAGTTTGGGGGTTTTTTCATTAAATACTTAGTTTAGGGGTTTTTACCCAAAACAAACTTAGTTGAGGGGTTTTTATGTTAAAAATCCTTAGTTTATAGATCTTTCGAAGATTTCGACATCGGATATGCTGAAAGTTATTGTTTGCCATAAAATCAGTGATCTGATTTTTCCTTGTATCTAAATTTTATTTTCTTTTAGAAAATAATCTTAAAACCCCTTTTTATTTTTTTTTATAAATAATAAAACGAAAATTGTATACGAGTTGCGCAGAACCGAACTCTTCGCTAGTTATATAAAACTTGCGAGTTTGATGGGGCTTCAGGTCTAGATAACTTTAATGGATATATAATTAAGAAATTAAACTCCATAACTTTATTGAGAACTGAAAACCATAACGATCAGTTTATTTCTCCCAAATCCAAAGAACAATAACATAATAATATTTCAACTGACTTAAATCAACGGAAAAAAAACTAAGTTAAAAGATAAACAAAAGAAGAAATCATCATGATCATTAGGAAATTTTTTGATACGGACTTATTTTCGAATCCAGATTTGGATGGGGAAGGAGCAAACATAGCAGGTGATTGAGCAGTAAGTGTTGGCGGTGATTGTATAATTGTTGGTGATGAACGAGATTTAGCCGCAGAAGAATGGCTACTTGCAGGTGAAGGGGTAACAGACGGTGATGGTGTGGTTATTCCTGGAGATGAACTGGCGGATGGTGTAGTCGTCGGTGGTTTCGAAGGAGATACTACATAAATACAATTAATAGATCAGTAATTTCAATACTATAAATTTAATAAAATATATGACTAATTAACAAGAAACAATATCTCTTATTCCAGAAGTGCTGTTTACTGGGGAAGTAACTTGTTAAAAATCATTCAGTATTTTTTCTTTTCTTAAAGTAAGCAAATAATTATTAGATAAGAAAAGAAATAATATACCACAATGAGGATCAATGGGGATGTTACAAGTAGAAGGCATAGCAAGAGCTCTATTGTTAATCAAATCAAACCCCATTGAACGACTACTCTCCAACGCAACGCAAAGACAGGTAGAGTTATATTCAAGAACAATTTTAACCCCATCGCAACATGCTTTGGTCGGACTACTGTCAGCTGATCCAACTGTTAAAAACGAAAGACAATCAAACATGCCGTATACTACTGTGGAACAATCATTGTTGGATGGTTCGGATGATGGAGAGAACACAGGTGACTCTGACGGCGAAATTAATGCAGCGGCATCGTATGAGGATAGAAGTAGTATGACATTAGATAGAACAAAAAATTGCTTCATTTTTCTGGTCTTTTCTTCTCTTTTGAGTATGATTTATTTTGTTGATGCTTTTAACTGAGAGATCAACAACTTCTACGACGTCAATATATAAGGTTACGAATTTATTGTTTAGAATATAATTATTTTCCGTAGAATATTCTTTTTCGGATGTTAAATACTTATTAAGTTAAGATTTGTTATTTGTAGAATCATTTTTGTAACTTCAAAATATTATTTAGAAATCTCTCTGTATTTGCTAAGATTTTTTTTGAAAAGACTGCTGTTTAATTTCTTATTCTTCATTAAAACTAGTAATAAGTATGAAAATTTATTCACAAAACCATAAACTGTAGCTGTACAAATTTAAGGGAAACTTTGAAAAAATATCTTTACCTGAGATTATAATTTAAATGTTACACTATCTTTTTATATTTTTCTAGAAACTACACTAATTTATTAGTGAAATGACCAAATTGACCAAATTTAATGTTTATATATCGACTATCTTATTTAATATTAATACTATTAAAATAGAATGTCTTTTTTTAGGTATCCTTCTGTTTCAACAATATTTAAACTATTTTTCTCGCAATTTATTTATTTATAGCAAAATCTATTAAAGCCAACAATGTTTCGTTTATTATTTTCTTTTTTCTTTTAGTTAAATTAATTAAGCTTTGTCAAATACGACCCTTCAAAACCCATTAATTCTCATTGCTATAAAGTAAATGATATTATTTATAAATATTGAGACTGGTCATCGGGCTCCATCAACAATCACATTACAACATTGTGAAGTTTTGATATTCAGATACAATTATATAAGAATGATACTTCATACTATACATGCTACCCTATTCATAATTATGAAATCTAATATATATAAACAGATCGTGTTTACATATTTTGTAAGTCTACATTCTAGATGTATAGTATGAATAGAAACAAGGATTTTTTGCAAAACTAACCTAAAAATTCAAGTAAAACACAAAACCAACCTATTATTTTTTTGTCATTACTATTCACCATTAAAAAGGCTAAACCCTCCTCATGTTTTTCAAATATTTACAAAATTGCCATTATTATATAATATTTTATTAATTTCGAGAATGCCAAAAAACCTATTACACCCTAAACATGTTTTTTTTTTTACAATAATGTCATTATCATCAATATCTCCCACCACCATGAACCACCCTTGATGAGCTCTTAAAGCTCAAGATATGAATGTATAACCACTTTTCCAATTTCTAAACAAACTCTTCTTCATTATCTCTCATTTTCTCTCAATTTTCATCTAAAAACCCCATCATAACTCTCATTTATATGAGCACAAACTTCATATTTTCGAGTTTCTTTAGAAGTGAATCGTAAAAGTTGGTGCTTTTGCTCATATTTGGGTTCTAGATGGTGGAAAAAGCTTGGAAACAAGTTTTACACCAGAAAAAGGTAACTATTCACATGCTTTTCGTCATACTTCAGATCTGTGTCGTGAGACTAGACTGTATTGTATGTCTACAGATATTTGTTGACTTACAAAGCGGTCTACTTTTCAACGCACATGTTACTTTTGCAATTGACCAAATTAATTTCTTTTTGTAATGCAGATTACAAGTACGTCTACATCTTTACCTTTGAAACCAAAAACAAAAAAACCGGTAGACTTACAAGTCTGTCTACATAAAAGATGTTAGCTTTGCATTTGACCAAACTTTTGACTTTCCATAGTAGACTTCCATGAAAGTCTACATTTTGGAGACAGCTAGGGAAGTCTACTAAAGGTCAGTTTTGCATTTGACCAAATCTTTGACTTCGTTGAATAGGTTAATTTTGTATTTGACTAAAATATTTTGAAATTGACCGAAACTTAATTTTACGTGTAAACTTCATATTCAGTCAACAAATCTGAGAAAAAAAGTAGACTGCATATTTTATTTTTGTCAAATGCAAACTAACCTATCGGGTTATAGTGTAGACTTTTACTTCAGACTACGGATTTGTAGACGTTTTGTTTAGTCTACTCGTAAAAAGTAAAACTTGGTCAATTGCAAAACTAACCTCTTTCAAACAAATTTTAAAATGTAGACTAAATTGTAAGTCTACTTTTAAAAGTCAAATTTTGAACGAATTCAGGTCAATTGCAAAACTAACCTTTTCAAAAATGTTAACTAAAAAGGAAGTCTACTTGTATAAAATCACAATTGTTTTTTTCAAATACAGAAAGTAACCCGTGAATTTTCAATTGCAAAAACCAACCTAAACGTAGACCGATAAGACAGTCTACAAAATATAAACTGAAAAAATGTCTACATTTATTTAGACTGAATATACAGTCTACATAGAAAAATCTATTAAAAAGTGGATTTGTGTATTATTCATTAAGTTTTTTCAATTTTTTGTATGAAAGTGTGTGTTAGTTAATCATAAGGTTCTTCAATGATTTTCTTTCGATAATCTGTTATAATCATGAAGTTAACACATTTTTGGTTTGTCAATGTTGTTAGCTTAAAATTTGTAGACATACTTGTAAGTCTACGTTAAATTTTTTGGTTTGAATATATTGTTTGCTAATAATTGTAGACGTACTTGTAAGTCTATTTTATAATTTTATCAAACTGCAATTTTTGTTTGCTAATTATGTAAACCGTATTTTTTTTTGCATGAGATGGCTCAATTATTCGTTGTATACAGAGAATTGGTGGTGAAAAACTCTAGATGTGTTAGTGTTATGTGTCAAACTTATGAGTTGTCTTATTGCTATGGATGTTCTATTATGAATTAGTGTCTCATTGCTTTGAGTTGTCTTCAATTGGATTTGTAGGTCTTTAGTCTGTGTTGAACTTATAAACTACATTGTTTTTTCGGATGTTGTCTAATGTAATAGACTTATGTAATATTTTTCTCTGTCAAGTAGACTTCTTTGTAAGCTTACAAGAAAGAAGACTAATAAGAGACATCACTTTTTTATGGCTCCAATAGTAGTCTCTTATTTTAGGGTTCTTAAAAAAACTGATTACACAAGTCTACACAAGTAAGTCTGTAATTGCACTTCCAATGCTCCACTCAAAACCTTGGGCTCCCATGCAATGTCCATCTAAAAGCTTCCCTATTTGTAGCTTCCTCAAAGGACAATTGTCAGCCTGCTCTTTTCAAAGTTAACATATCAAAAAAGATAGAAACTTGACAGAAGAAAAACAAAAGTACAACATGATTAAAGGTAAAACATATTATAAGACCAGCTGCAAAGAAACCCAACACTTCACTCTTTTACATTTATCTTATGTGGATTTTGAACCAACGTACTTGGAAATGAACATATTAAGTCTCCATTCTATAGTCATTTAAATGTTCCATAACAAAAAGAAGAAACCAACTAAGAGTTACCTGATGCAATATGTTCATTCTTTTCAGAGGTAATAAAGACTCGATCATTTTCATGTAAACCACATCTGACCATGCTACTCCTTCAGACACAAACCCATATCTACATAACCACAAAACAGAATATATACAAATGACTTGCAATAAACCTTCAGACATAAACCGATATTTACATAAACACAAAACACAAGCATCATCACATATATAAATGACTTGCAATAAAGAGAAAAGTAAAAGAAAAGGGCACAAAATTATACCGAGAAGAGCTAATCTCCTCTAACCTAGAAACAGAAGCACAAAACACAAGCCTCAGCACATATAAAAATGACTTACAATAAAGAGAATAAGTAAAAGAAAAGGGAAACTCACCTTTAGACTTCAGGGGACACACACTTGTATCGAGAAGAGCAACTAAGAAAGCTGGAACGATGGTGTATCTTCTTAGTCGTCTTGACCCTTCGACCTTGAATCCGCCTCCCCACTGGATCTCAGACATCTTCTTATTCCAACATCAAGCTGTGTGACGTGAATCCAACGACCACCATATCGCCTTGACCACCATTCTTTTTCACTGCACTACCACCAATTTCATCTGCCACTACAACTTCTCTATAACGAACATATATAAATTCAGAACAAAAATATACTATCATAGCAACCTCACCTGAAAACAGATAAGTGTTTCAGGCCCCCAATATTTCAGGGTAGCAAGGTCATAAGCTCTAGCAGCTGCCTCCTCATCATCGTAAGCTCCTGAAACTATATAAGTACTGATTTTTAGTAAAAGCTAATCCAATCGGATACCAAGTGTGTTTCGTTATACATAAACACAAAAAATAACTACAAAGGTTTTAGGCATTGACCATGAAAACTGGTGAGGATATAGGCATTGACCATGAAAAAATTGAAGGAATAAAAAAAGAGCTTTTATACTCCAAATAGGAGAAATCATAATGCTAAATGAGGAATCAAGAAAAAGATTGACACCTTGTTTGCCCTTCTGGTTTTGGTTCCAAGTAGTCTTCTCCCAAAGGTGCGCTTCATAACGACCTGTTTTATTCATGTACTCTACCCAAATTTAAGAAACATCAGGCATCTTCTACTGCTATGAGTATGTAAAAACGCAGAACCTTAAAGACAACCCTTGACTCATTTTACTGATACGCTCCTTAACCTTTTTAAAACCTCTATACAACAACATATCATCACTCTCAGACACTGTATCCGAGCTCTCTCCTCCTCCACCTGACTCACAACACAAAGAACCATCACAAACAGAGAGAAAATCGTAACACAGAGACTATTAACAATATTAACTAGCTAATATTACAAGACAATAACACAGAGACGAGATAAATTAGAGACAATATAAATAAGATAAACAAGACCAGAGATAAGATAAATCAGATACAAGATAAACCAGATAGTGAAGACCAGGGAGAAGATTAATAAGATATAAAAGACAGAGACTCAAGATAGGAACACATTGTCAAGGTAGTCATAATCGAGACTCTTGATACAGAAACAAATAGTCAACCAAAATCAAAACCCTAGACACAGATACAGATTGTCAGGTGACTCGGGTCTGCAAAAAGAGAGAGAGCTCGAGGTCGACAGACAAGAGAGAGAGAACTCAAGGTTTCAGGTGACTGCAATAAAACAATGAAACAATGAGGAAAAGCCCTAAGTTATCTCAACGAGTTAAAACGTAGATCTGAAGCTTGGAGGCGAGAATTGAAAAATTACCTGAGATCTGAAGCTTTCCCCCAGAAACCTCGGAGAAGAAGGATGAGAGGAATACAGAGAGAGAGAGAGAGAGAGAGAGAGAGAGAGAGAGAGAGAGAGAGAGAGAGAGAGAGAGAGAGAGAGAGAGAGAGAGAGAGAGAGAGAGAGAGAGAGAGACAGCTTGTTTATTTTTGTCGCCCCTTTTTTTTTAATAAGAAAGAGTATTTATATGTCAAGTCATTTTTTCTGGTTAGGTTAAAAGTCTTTGGTTTAATTTTGGTTTGGTTAAAATTATTTTGGTTAAAACTTTAGGTTAGGTAGACTCCCAAACAAGTCTACTATAATATTTTCTTTATTGTTTCAAATACTTTATAATATATAATCTAAAATTTTTATTTTCATTATATATTTAGTAGACTTAGTATATATTTTTTGTTGATAAAATTTTAATTCACATTTTAATTTATAAATAAATAGATTTAATTTTAAATTTTTTTTTATTTTTATAATCACCCATTATAGTAGACTAAAAGAGACGTCTACTATCGAAGTAGACTTTACCGTAAGTATTGGCACCAATAGGGAAAATAGGCTCCAAATTTCATTTTCGCTTCCCGCTTAGTTAATTTTAATTATAAAATATTTCTTTTGATAAACACCAATTAATGTATACTAAAATAGACGTCTACATATAAGTAGACTTTACTGTAAGTCTACTATACCCTAAATATTGGCGCCAATATGGAAAAACAGGCTCCGAAATTCATTTTCACTTCCCTCTTAGTTAATTTTAATTTTAAAATAATTTATTTTGGTAAACAAAAATTAACGTAGACTGAAATAGACATCTAGATATAAGTAGACTTAACTGTAAGTCTACTATACCCTAAACCAGAAATCTCAAACCCAAAACCCCAAACCTCAAACCCTAAACGTTTGATTAATTATAAAAAAAACCTTAGCCATTGTACCAAATATCATATATACAAAATATAAACTACTCAACATTAAATATGCAATTTTGAATCATTAAAACAAAATAATTCTAAATCTAGAATCTAACTCTAAAAGAATAGAACATTTGGTTGCTAAACCATTAACATTGTCTACCACATAGTTTCCAAATCAATATACATTCTTTTAAATTGTTCAATTTTATGAAAGTTTAATTTATATAACTCATACTAACCTTTAAATTGATGATTTATTAAAATATTTACCAAAAACATTTTTTCTACATTTTTAAAATTAAATTATTTGATTAAATTAAGATGTAGACTAAATAATAAGTCTACATTAGTCTACACAGTAGACGTTAATGTAAGTCTACCTACTTGTAGACTTCTTTCTTAAAGTGTAGACCTCAGAAGAACAGAACTGTAAAATATATTCCTCGTTTTTTGTTTGTTCATAAGGGTTAAATAGTAGTTTAAACACCCATTTAGGTTGGGTTTGCAGTTGATTGAATATGGGGTACCCCTTTACGGTTAAAATGAATATTTGGGTTGGTTTTTGCAATTCCCCCTAGAAACAAACCCCCAAACCAAAAATCATTTTTATTTAGTTTATTTATCAATAATATTAAAAATTATCAGAAAAGTACTCATATAGATAACAATAAAACCTGATATATATTAAAAAAAAAAACCTTTTATTAGCTTCTTATTCTAAATTTTGAATATATTGAGATGTGCAATATACGAGACCAATTACCTTATTTTCACATCTGTTTTCAAATCAATAACAAAAAAATAGAAAAAAAAATACGGAGTTTTCTTAATCATCTCCCAATTAATCACATAAATCTAAAAAAAAAATCATAAATACCCGGCCAACCATGATAATTTCAATTCATTTACAAATCACAAAAAAATTATCAAAACAAAAAAAAATTGTAATTCTGTTAACATAAATATCGCATATAATAATTCAAAAAATCTAATTTTACACTACTTAAAGAAGCTTGGTAGCCAAGATAATATTCTCTAAGTGTATTGTCCAAGAATATGCCAAACTCACGGCGCATAACCTTTCTTATATATAATGCCTTCAAAACCTCCAAGCTTATATGTTCCTTTCTAAAAGTTTATGATTTCTAAAAGTTTCTGATATAATGCTTTGAAGCAAAATATGGTGTACCTTGAACAGGTTAGGCCATGAAAGACGGTTTGGTTGATCGAAGCCAAAGTGATACACACACCTGAAACCATCCAATGTCTGGCTTGGTGAGAGTTTGGAAATCATATTCGTAAACAAAATGGTAATCAAAATTGTATAATCCGTCTGCAATTTTTTAGATTTGTTATTGTATGCAAGCGATTACCCGATTTTGGTTTGATCATTTTTCATTGCATCACTTTTTTTTTTGTTTAATCTTCTATTGCATCTTATTTAGTAGCCACCAGTCCTTTCTATTTGATCATCATTACTTATGGATGTATCTGAAAAAGTAAAGTTATCATATCAATAGCTTGTGAACAAATTAGAGATTATGTAATTAGATGAGAAAATATAAAAGTAATCTCCATTTATCAATCAGTATACAGTTTGATACTTCCAAGTAACCGACATTGAAAACTGTTTCATGTAAGCTAAGTAAACCTCCGGATCTTAGATCTCCGGGTCCTATAAAGACCTCTGGGTCCTATAAAGACTTCCGGGTCCTAGAAAACCTCCGGGTTATAATAGTAACCTCCGGGTCCTTTAAAGACCTCTGGGTCTTATAAAACCTCCAGGTTCCATAAGGCACCTCCGGTTCCTATCAGAACCTTTGGGTCCAAAAGTAAAGTCTAAGGACTTATCAATAGGGGTTCATCAGTAACTCACCTAAGGGGAGTGGAACATGATCCCTACTCATCTACACACCTATGTCTACGGACCATCTATCCCTACTCGATAGAGGCCTGCCCAGAAGGGAAGGGCATAAAGGGGTAACAAAGGCTTCCAGGCTTGGTAATCTATTTTATTTGTCGTACAGCCTGCCTAAGGGAGGCCAGATAATATCTCTAGGTTGCCTCCAGGATTAAAACTTCTTATGACCACGAAAGAAGAAGACGCCTTCTGCGCGGAACAGGAGGATCTAGCTGAAGAAAAAACTTGGGTCCTTCGTGGCAGCCATCGACGAGTTCGAAGGAAAGCCAATCATGACCCTAAGATTCTTGATCTCCGCGAATACATCTAAAAAACAGCCGCGTTAGTAAGGGTGGTGAAATCTCATTTCATCATGCTACGAGCGCTGCGCCTGAAATTGACCGACTGCTCGACGAGGCTCAGAAAATGCCCTTCACAACTCGCATCACTAGAACCACGGTATCTGACCCTGGGAAAATTAAGCTGCCCACATAAGACGGCACCTCCGATCCCAAGGCGCACCTGCAAGCTTTCCATATCACGATAGGAAGGGGCAGGCTCAAGGAAGGCAAAAGGGACGCCGGCTATTTCCGCCTCTTCGTCGAAAACCTAGAAGGAGCGGTGCTCGAATTGTTCTCTCGACTCGAGAGAAACTCAATCACGAGTTTCGAGTTTCCGCCAACTCGCCTCGGAACTCCTAATAATTATCTATGTTCATAGATAGAGGAACATCCGACGTTGACCTTTGGAGCTTGTCCCAGAAAGAAGGAGAAATTCTCCATGATTTCATGGGCAGATTCAAGCTCGTCATGGAGAGAGTTAGCGGAATAAGAGACAAGGCGGCCATCGACTTGCTTAGAAAGGGCCTTAGGTATAGGTCAAATTTTAGAAAGTGGAAAACCCTCGAAAAGCTGCATCATGATTCAAGACGTGATCCATAAATCCACGGACTACATCATCATCAAAGAGGAGACAAAGGCCTTGTCGTAACAACATAAACCGAGAAAGACATCCTCGAAGGATGCCACTTCACACCAGAAGCCGAAAAAGAAAAACATTCGTAACAACAAGTACGTCCACCATGAGGGACAAGACATCCATGGGGCGCATAACCCAAGTCCGTGAAGGTATCCAACAACGATCTCCATAATCAGAAACCACAAATGACATTGCATTAA